ACGCGACAGAGGATTTATAATATTCTTTATAATCGATATTATTTATCTCTTTAAATCTTAACTTTTCTCGAATAATTACTAGCTTATGAGTTTAAGATCACTTAATCTTCCAGCGGGATAATATTCATTTATAAGTGATCATGCTTATTCTAGAATACCTTGAAGTTGCATTTGACGGACTGTGAAATCGAAAGTGGCAAAAGTTTGCGATAGTTTTGTGGAAAAGCACTTGTCATCGAAGCCGCGGCGACGTAGCTGCGACATGCCTGATAGCCGATGGTAATTGAGAATAATAGCGGCGACCGTTTCGCGTATGTATGCGTATGTCTTTTCATGCATACAGATACGTGTGTGTGTGTGTGTATGGTCAAGTGCATTCACCCCGCGGCAATGTGCGGCTGTATCGCCTCTCGTAGGTCGCTTCCCTCCACCTAATGCTGTGTAAACCTATTTGCTGTAAAATTACTCTGTGGTGGCATCTCTCGCTACCTCGCCTCGAGCTCATCTTGGCCGTGCGCGCGCTCGCGTGTAGAAACACACGAACGGCAGCGTTGAGAGCGTTCCGCTTTTGAGACGGGCGATTTAAAGACTCCCTCTGCCCTTTTCCCTCTTTCTCAATCTCTCTCTCTCTCTCTTTTTGTTCTTCCACCTGCGCGTCACCTGTCTTTTTATTCGTCGCGCCGCAGAAGTTCTCTCTTTCCGTGTATGAAAATAATCAAATTGAAAGCACCCGCGACTGCGAGCGCTCTGCGCTTTTCGAGATTCTTCGGTCATTTGCTTCTTTAGTATCAGACGCGTGTCAAAGAGTATATTATTAAGTATATTATATAGTTTTATATAAATAAAATAAAATATGTCATTATCAAATATTCAATTTGGATCTTCTCCAATGTTAATTCATGTCTTTAATAAGAAATATTGCGTAATTTATATGAACGTTAATAAGAAGTTAAACAAACAACAATGCAAAAGCACTGTGCTGGTTATATAAGAAGGATATTGCAAATTTTCATAAATATTCCGCCCTTCTGACCGAAAAAAATTAATTATCTTTCGCGTGACATCTGTCGCGGCGCAAAGTGGATCCGTTCGTAGGCGGCGAAAAAGAAAGATGAATTTCGAAAGAAATGGCAGAGACAAACTTGCGCGTTATATTAGTCCCGTGTTTGTATGAAGATGTATATGTATGTGTACGTGTATATGTGTGTATGTATATATGTGAGTGGGACTAATTCGGTAAGCCAGCGTCAAGCGAGACGAAACCGCCACCGTAGCTGTAAATCACCGCAAACGCACGGCGCAACGGCGTACTGCGTGTGCCGAACGTGGTCGTGCGCAAAGTTTCGTGAATGTATTGGCGTGTACCGCGATGGTGTTGTAGGTACATAAGAGACCCTCTAAACGTAACATTGACCCGGTACAAACCGACGGCAAACATTACGAATTGATTCGTTCGTCGTGTCGCGCTGTACGCGTCGATTTTCTGCGACTACCATATTTACGCACTTGTTTTCTACTTTACATAAAATTTACTTTTTCGTGGAGAACGACGTGATGATGCGACAATTAAACTCAGCTCAGTAATTAATGAATAATCAAATATCCTGTGGTGCGAAAATATGATGTAGAGAGAGACATAAATTTTGTCGACGGGTTTTCAGTCAGTCTTCCTACTTTCATAAACTTGTTTTCCGCTATGTACCACAAGTTGCGAATCGTACCGATGACGCAACATTCCAACGCACGCACACACACATGTGGCCTGGATTTGTCAAGGTTCCGTCATCACCATTGCGTGACCGGTTCTAAAGGATACAGATGTAGCCGGGTCGACGAGCTTTGTGTTTGGCGATGACCCCGTGTTAGGTGAAGGCCGCAATAACGACAACCACAACGCTGCCGCGAAGTGTGAACTCGGCATTTTTGCCGCCTGTCCCCGAACCATTCTCGATCTGTCATTGAGACCGGCCCTACTGGCCGGAGAGAGAGGACTATTAATCAGCCCATGCCGGTCGGTGGTCCCTTTAAACAGATTTAAAGGACGATACCGACAAAGGAACGCTTTTCGGATCTGCTCTCTCTCTTATCGTTCTACCGTCTATTCTTAAAGAACCTGGTGGTATTTCCCCATTATGCGCTATTTTTGCCCATGCGAAAATATCGTATCTATCTAAATTGGGTTTTATTATTCGTTCCTTTGTTGAAAAGCACAATACAAGTTGGTATCCTTGTTAATATAATTTAATTATTATAATAAATATTTATGATATTTTTTTTTATTACGCTGTACTATGATT